CTGTGCAGAAATAAAAAAATGCAGCTGCAAGCCACGAAGAGACTACTTAGTCAACAATGGCTACAAAACCTGACTAGACGTTGGCGTTCTATGAAGGTCCAGTCGTTTCTTGAAGATGCTGTTTTCTACGACATTTCTGCTTTCATAATATACCCTTTTCATATTCACCGGCTGCGGCGAGCTAGCATACGCATCTTTAGACCGCAAAGAGCTGTAGTCAAATTGGCTATATCACGTGGCCGAAAGCCCATTTTCACGAAGCTCCAGTCCTCATTTCAGGATGCTGTGTTCTGCAACGTGATGTCCTCTCAAACTTTAACCTATTCTGTGCAATCATTATCCAAGTTTGCTTGTGCAAATGAGTCGGTATCTGTCCCCAAACATGACAACGCTAACGTACATGTGGTGTGAAAGGCATTTTTTTTGGCAAAAAAAAACGCAATATGGCATGCTTATTTTAGTCTCCTAACAATTCCACAAAAAGCCACGTGGCTGATGGCGTACCGCGCTTCTGGCATGTAAAGGAGCCGCCACGATGGGCTGTGCCGAGCCGCCGTCGCCCTCAGAACAACGCTTGGTTTCTGGACAGCCCACAGTCTCCTCTTGTAGGTCAGTTGTGTAATCTCCTCAGTTGGTGACATTGAATCCCATATCCCAATCCCATAAACTGGATCATCTGCCTGATCCGGTCGTCCCTGGATAACGGACGCTCCGTAGGGCACCCTGTCCTCAGCAGTATAAAACGCGTCTGCCACACAACAGTGGCATAAATCCATCTCTTGTCTCTGTACAGAACCACAGAACTGCACCATGAAGCTGGTAAGAGTAAGAGCTTACAGGGTCCTCCTGCACTGGACGAGAAACAAGCTCAGTATGAAAGCACGTACACGTTATGTAAGGAAAGGTCGTCATCCTGCTGCAAAATGATCTGCATGTAGCTACAACTTTGACACGCTTGTTACCGGTGCACGTATCCTGTGAACATTGCAAATGGCGTGCGCTTAAGGGCACTCCGAGTACAGCAACACGAAGATCAACGTACCCCAATGTGATGAAATTTCTTAAGGTGCGTGACACCTGCATTCGTACATCAAGTGATAACACATGCCAAATTTTTGTTTCAGCTTGTATTTGCTGCCGTGGTGGCCGTCTGCGCCGCCGCCCCCTCCCAGACGTACGAGGCCCCGCAGGTCCGTGCCGCCCTCCAGCCCGTCGCCAGAATCCTCGAGGAGGACAGCCAGCACGACGGCCAAGAGGGCTTCAGCTTCCGCTTCGTCTCCGACGACGGCGTCGAGCGGCAGGAGCAGGGCGCGGACGGCGCCGTCGCCGGCTCGTACAGCTACACTTCACCGGAGGGTGCCGAGATCATCGTGAGCTACGTGGCCGACGCGCTGGGCTTCCGTGCCGAGGGTGCGGCGCTGCCGACGGCCGTGCCCACCGAGTACCCGACGCCCGAGGTGCCGTCGACCGAGGCGGCCCCCGAGGTGCGCACCGTGCAGGGGTACTCGGCTCCGGCCCCCGAGGCCCGCGCCGCCCCCGCCCCCGTGCAGTACGAAAAGGTACTGGTCGGATATCAGCCCCGGTATCAGTAAAGTAGTCAATCGGACCTCGGTCAGGTACCATCATATCTCACCTTGTTTTTTCCTTGGCCCAATTATGATTGACCCAAAGCTCAAATTTTCGCGATACCTTTAGCTTAAAAATTTTTGTCTCCACTTGAGTGCGTCTATTTATCTGTTTAGCTATGAATGTGTGCGTAAAACCTTGCCGTTCAAAGAGTGCGTGAGCAATGTTGTGATGCACTTTGCACATGTTTCTGACGCATGCATTCGCAATTCAAATGAATGTGCACGTGAGGCGAAATATATTTCTCCGATTATACGTTAGTTTTGGCATAACGGCAATTACCATGGCATACCACAGTCGGTACAAAGGCAAAGAAACAAAGGCAAAGTTTCGAAGCATTACGGCCATTGAGCTTGAGAAAACATGACCGACTGCGTTGGCTTGCGAGCCTTACGGCAATTGTTTATTTTCAGGTGCGTGCCCAAAAATCCAAACACCGGCATGCTCTCTGAGATAGGTAACTAAGTACTGGCATGGGCGGTGTAATTGTACAGACCATGAAACGCTGCGGTGCAAAGGTATTGTTCCGCAGTGCACCACACTACCAGAGGGAATAAGCGCGAAGAGCGAATGCGAGGGGGGAGGGGGCACAGGGGAAGCTATCCCATATTTTACCCCGCCCCACCCTTCCCCACCCTTCGAAAACTTGTAGAAGCAGCTGTTGAGTAAGTGCTGCAGGAGGGGTCACCTACATTACAGGTTCAAAAAATCTAACAAGCATTAAGACGTTGCATGGAAAGAAGCAAGAAAAATCACGTTTTCCTCCGAAACCTCTCAAAGGAATCGTCGTCACCGGGAGCGATTTGACCCAAGGCTAACAGAGCCCAAACTAATTGGATATATCTCTCTCCTGCAGTTGGATGCCGTTTGCGTGACGTTACGTTTGTCATATTCGGTACTTTACCTTTTGCGATGAGCTGCCAGCTGGATTCGCCTCACTTTTACGTGGTCTAACATATCTACGCAGTTGTAGCTGTTCATCAAATTGAGCCAATCAGAACTGTCGGTATCAGGAATAGTACATGTTGGTCACATCCTTGCCTAGAATTTCAGCACAACTCTACGCAAATCAATTAACACGCGCTCGGGTGGACTTGACCTCAACTTGAGGTCAACTTGACCTCCCCGAAGGTTTTTCCAGAATGGTTTGCGAACGGCGCGGAGCAGCCACGCCAAATTTTGCAGACCTGTAGACAATTGAATAGCGGATCGCTTGGCATAAAACAATTTAGATGTTCTTCGTAAGGTTGCTGACCTATGGTGGGTCAAAATCAGGTCATAGTTTCAGCAAAGACAATTCCTAGGGAATCCTTCAAACTGATCCAACAACGAAGTGTAAGACGAAGCCATGTATGTCTGAGATGCTTTCGTAGGCAGCAAAACAGTTGAATGAGCATATTACATTGACCTAAGGTCAGGTATAATGGTCACACCAAGGTAAAAACCAACCTGTGTTGTTACTCTAGGGATTGCTGTGTGGGATAGTTTCTGGTGCTCATTTCGAATTAATTCATAGCAGAAGCCGCATTATACATCATCCATGGACTTCTTAGAGGTCAGAATAGGCCATTGACCTAAGATGACCCAGGTTAATATTTCATTTTAGGAACATACTGCGTAGCGTAATCTTTGTCGCTTTGTCAAATGCAAAACTACAAGCAATCTCGTATGATTTTGGTCACCTTGACCTTCAAAAGGTCAAACAAGGTCACTGACCTTAAATGAGTATGTGACCTTTTGCTTAGAAATGGTTATCTAGGTTTTGGGGTCACTTCGGAGAGCGACCTTGAACATGACCTTGTTTGACTTTCTTTGGCCAGAAGGTCATGACCTAAGAACCTAGGACTTTGACCTACGTGAGTTCACGTACAGGTGAACACACCCTCTAAATTTGGTGTCTTTAGCTTTCTTAGTTCCCGAGATCTCAGAGAAGGATCAAATTGACAGCCCCACCCGAGCGAAGGGTATCTAGCCGGCCACCCGGGCGCGTGTTAAAGCTGAAAAACGTGGACACGTACAAGTGAACTATCATAAAAATGCGATGCTGCCTTACGGCACGTAATAACCTTTGCAGATTTGTGTGTCTGTCTGCCCTGTCCTGTTTGACCTGCACGACACAGGCCTGTCTGACCTGTCAAAAGCAGCTCTTCGCCCATTTTTGGTTTTCTTCTTTTGTTAGTTGAGGACAGCTGCCTCATCTGTGAGTGCTTGGTTCCATACAGAATGCCTAGCACCCCCTGCGACTTCGATCTATGCTCGAACTGATTTAAGAAGCTTGTCGGAATGATCTATCGACAAATCAAAGTCTTAACCGGGAGGGGGGGATTCATGATCACTGGTCTAGGGATTACCCCGCTCCCCAACCACCTGCAATTTACATGCCATTAGCCTATATTTGGAATGCACGCAAAATCAAACTTCCATGCACACAAAAAAAAACACCAGGCATTTTTGGTGACACAACCAACACCGTGCCTGTACACACGGTTGCATCTCAAGATATGCATTATGATAGTCTTTGATGTGTTACGTATGTGTTAAGCTAGACAAGTAATTGGAAAACATTCGCTGGCAGGTCGATTGGATGGAAACATTTCCGGCGGTGCAGAGATGAATAGAGCAGCTTCAAGCCACGAAGAAGCTTCTCTGTCAACAAGGGGCTATATAAGCTGACTACAACTTCACGTTACATGGAGCTCCAGTCATTCCTTGAATATGCTGTTTTCCACAACATGTTTGCCTCCATAATTCATCCCTTTCACATTCACCGGGTGTGGATAGGGTGGGTGTGCATTTGCAATTTCAGATAACGAAGAGCTGTAGTCAAGTTCGCTGTATCACATGGCCGACAGCCCTTTTTAACAAAGCTGCAGTCGCCGTTTCAAGAAGATGTGTTTTACAACGTGATTCCTTATCCAATTCTTGCATATTCTGTACGATCGTTATCCAAGCCTGCCTGTGCAAGTGAGTTGATCTTTGTCCGCAAACATACCAACGTAAGCGTGAATGTGGTATGTATAACACTTTTTGTGCAAAACAACCCACATCATTGCAGTTTTTTGCTCCCAGCAGCGCCCCAGGAACCAATGTGAGCACTGGCGTACCGTACTCTCGTCTGACATGTAGAAAAATCCGCCTTAATGGGCCGTGGCGACACGCCGTGGACACCAGAACTAAACAAGTTTTCTGAATAGCCCGCACTGTCCTGTCGTAGGTTGGTTGTGTAATCTTCTAAGCTGGTGACATTGAATCCCATGAACTGGATCATCTGCCTGACCCGGTCGTCCCTGGGTACCGGGCCCTCCGGTGGGGCAGCCTATCCTGCTCAGGAGTATAAAACACGTCTGCTCCCCAGAAGACGCATCACTTCATCTCTTGTTTCTGAACAGAACCACAGGACCATATCATGAAGCTGGTGAGAGCAAGAACTAACATAGTTCCTTGCTCTAGGCCAGCTAGAATCTCAATATAAATGCATACATGTTATGCAAGAAAAGGTCGGCATACTGACCAAAATAATTTCAATGTGGCCACAATACTAGCATGTGTTTAATAGCACTTCGGGCACAGCAACACGAAGATCAACGGAGGCCTAATGTGGTGAAATTTCTTAAGCTGAAACACACCTACATTCGTATATCAATTGATAACACATGCCAAATGTTTGTTTCAGTTTGTGTTTGCTGCCGTGGTGGCCGTCTGCGCCGCCGCCCCCTCCCAGACGTACGAGGCCCCGCAGGTCCGTGCCTCCCTCCAACCCGTCGCCAGAATCCTCGAGGAGGACAGCCAGCACGACGGCCAAGAGGGCTTCAGCTTCCGCTTCGTCTCCGACGACGGCATCGAGCGGCAGGAGCAGGGCTCGGACGGCGCCGTCACCGGCTCGTACAGCTACACGTCACCGGAGGGCTCCGAGATCGTCGTGAGCTACGTGGCCGACGCGCTGGGCTTCCGTGCCGAGGGCGCGGCGCTGCCGACGGCCGTGCCCACCGAGTATCCGACGCCTGAGGTGCCGTCGACCGAGGCGGCCCCCGAGGTGCGCACCGTGCAGGGGTACTCGGCTCCGGCCCCCGAGGCCCGCGCCGCCCCCGCCCCCGTGCAGTACGAAAAGGTACTGGTCGGATATCAGCCCCGGTATCAGTAAAGTAGTCAATCGGACCTCGGTCAGGTACCATCATATCTCACCTTGTTTTTTCCTTGGCCCAATTATGATTGACCCAAAGCTCAAATTTCCGCGATACCTTTAGCTTTAAAAATTTTGTCTCCACTTGAGTGCGTCTATTTATCTGTTTAGCTATGAATGTGTGCGTAACACGTTGCCGTTCAGAGAGTGCGTGAGGAATGTTGTGATGCACTTTCCATGTGTTCCTGACGTATGCATTTGCAGTCCAAATGAATGTGCACGTGAGGCGAAATATATTTCTCTGATTACACGTTAGTTTTTGCGTAACAGCAATTACTATGGCATACCACAGCCGGCACAGCGGCGAACATTTCAATGTTGTGTGGCTGGCATGTGGGTTTATGTAAAAAAATTGACCAACGCGGTTCGTTAATGGCAGCTATTTGGCCACCGGCCAAGAGAGTCAGGCTAGCACGTGTAGGCTGTGCCATGTGTAGACCGCGCCACAAATTGCGGTTATGGAGGCATTCACCTGTTTCAAGGCACATGCATGCCACACAATAAACATTATAAGTAATTCTAAAAAATGCAAGGCATGCATCAAGCGCTTACTTAGGTGCAAGTTACTGTTGGCGGGTGGGGGGTGGGGGGACTTGGATTTGGCCAAGTCGCGTTGCAGGCAACATAAAAAGCAGAATCTGCGCATTTCGCCGATCTTACCGTCATGCCAACAATTGCACACTTCCTCTCCAGTTCATTAACTTCCATATTCCTCTTATTGCTTTATTAGAACCAAGCGAAATGTAGGATCGCGATTGAATGCGATCATTGTAGTGTTAAAATACTCGTGCAGTAGCAGCAAGGCAAACGTTTGGGCGTTATTTTTGCAAATGAGTTAGCAGCAATACTTGAAGATCCTGGAGGTGTCAAAACAGTGGTTATTCAACAAACTGTAACGACCATACTAGAACTGTAAAGTTTCGAAGCATTACGGCCATTGAGCTTGAGAAAACACGATTGACTGTGTTGACTTGCTAGCCTTATGGCAATTCTATACGTTCAGGTACGTGCCCAAAAATCCAAACACCAGCATGCTCTCCGAGATAGGTAAATAAATACTGGCATGGGCAGTGTAATTGTACAGACCGTGAAACGCTGCGGTGCAAAAAGTATTGCTCCGCAGTGCATCATACTACCAAAGGAAATAAGCGCGAACAGCGAATGCGAGGGGGGGGGGGGGGGTACAAAAGAAACTACCTCATCTTTTACCCCGCCCCACCCTTCCACACCCTCCGAAAACTCGTAGAAACAGCTGTTGAGTGAGTGCCGCGGAAGGGGTCACCTACATTACATGTCCACAAAATCTAACGCAAGCATTAAGACGCTGCATGGAGAGAAGCAAGGAACATCACGTTTGCCTCCAAATCCCTCAAAGAAATCGTCCCCACCGGGAGCGATTTGACCGAAGGCTAACAGACCGCAAACTAACTGGATATATCTCTCATGCAATTGGATGTCGGTTGCGTGACGTTAGGTTTGTCATATTCGGTACTTCACCTTTTGCGATGACCTGCCAGCTTCGTTCGCCCCACTTTTACGCGGTCTGTCATATTTACGCAGGTGTAGCTGTTCATCAAATTGAGCATATCAAAACTGTCGGTATCAGGAATAGTACATGTCGGTCACATCCTTGCCCGAATTTCAGCACTCATCTAGGCAAATAAACTAAAGCTGAAAGACGTGGACACGTACAAATAATATATAATAAAAGTGCGATGTTGTTTTACGGCACGCAATAATCTTTGCAGATCTGCGTGTCTGTCTGCCCTGTCCTGTTTGACCTGCACGACACAGGCCTGTCTGACCCGTCAAAAGCGATTCCTCACCCATTTTTGGTTTTCTTCTTTTGTTAGCTAAGGACAGCTGCCTCATCTGTGAATACTTGGCTCCATGCAGAATGCATAACATCCCCTGCGACTTCGATCTGTGCCCGAACTGTTTTAAGGACCTTGTCGGGTGTGACCTATCGACAAATCAAAGTCTTAACCGGGTGGGAGGGATTCATGATCACTGGTGTAGGGACCCCCCCTCCCCATTCCCCTGCAATTAACATGCCGTTAGCCTTTATTTGGCATGCACGCGATGTTAAACTTTCATGCACACACACAGAGAAAAACACCAGCCATATTTGGTGACACAAGCCAACACCATGCCTGGACACACGGCTACATCTCAAGATATGCATTATGATAGTCTTTGATGCGTTACGTATGTGCTAAGCCAGGCAAGTAATTGGAAAACGTTCGCTGGCAGGCAGATTGGATGGAAGCATTTCCGGCAGTGCAGAGATGAATAGAGCAGCTTCAAGCCACGAAGAGACTTCTCTATCAACAAGACGCAGATAAGTTTGAGCTGACTAAAGTCGATTGAGGCGATTGAGCTGACTACAACTTCACGTTACATGGAGCTCCGGTCGTTCCTTGAGGATGTCGTTTTCCACAACATGTTTGCCTCCATAATTTATTCTTTTCACATTTTTTTGGCTGTGGATGGCTAGCATTTGCAATTTCAGATAACGAAGAGCTGTAGTCAAGTTCGCTGTATCACATGGCCGACAGCCCTTTTTAACGAAGCTGCAGTCGCTGTTTCAAGATGATATGTTTTTCAACGTGATTCCTTATTCAATTCTGGCATATTCTGTACGATCGTTATCCAAGTTTGTCTGTGCAAGTGTGTTGACATTTGTCCGCAAGCATACCAACGTAAGCGTGAATGTGGCATGCAAGACACTTTTTGTGCAAAACAACCCACAATACTGCACTGTTTTTTTTTGCTCCCAGCTATGCCCCAGCAGCCAACGTGAACGGTGGTCTACCGTACCCTCGTTTGACATGTAGAAAATTCCTCTTTAAAGAGCTGTGCCGAAACGCCGTGGACACCAGAGCTAAACGAGTTTTCTGGGTAGCTCGCAGTGTCCTGTCGTGGGTTGGTTGTGTAATCTTCTCAGCTGGTGACACTGAATCCCATGAACTGGATCATCTGCCTGACCCGGTCGTCCCTGGGTACCGGGCCCTCCGATAGGGCAGCCTATCCTGCTCAGGAGTATAAAACACGTTTGCTGCCCAGAAGACGCATCACTTCATCTCTTGTTTCCGAACAGAACCACAGGACCATATCATGAAGCTGGTGAGAGCAAGAACTAACATAGTTTCCTTGCTCTAGGCCAGCTAGAATCTCAATATAAATACACATGTTATGTAAGAAAGGGTCGGCATCCTGACCAAAACAACCTTAAGGTGGCCGCAATACTAGCATGTGTTTAATAGCACTTCGAGCACAGCAACACGAAGATTAACGGAGGCCTAATGTGGTGAAATTTCTTAAGCTGCATCACACCTGCATTCGTATGTCAATTGATAACACATGCCAAACGTTTGTTTCAGTTTGTGTTTGCTGCCGTGGTGGCCGTCTGCGCCGCCGCCCCCTCCCAGACGTACGAAGCCCCGCAGGTCCGTGCCGCCCTCCAGCCCGTCGCCAGAATCCTCGAGGAGGACAGCCAGCACGACGGCCAGCAGGGCTTCAGCTTCCGCTTCGTCTCCGACGACGGCATCGAGCGGCAGGAGCAGGGCTCGGACGGCGCCGTCGCCGGCTCGTACAGCTACACGTCACCGGAGGGCTCCGAGATCGTCGTGAGCTACGTGGCCGACGCGCTGGGCTTCCGTGCCGAGGGTGCGGCGCTGCCGACGGCCGTGCCCACCGAGTACCCGACGCCCGAGGTGCCGTCGACCGAGGCGGCCCCTGAGGTGCGCACCGTACAGGGGTACTCGGCTCCGGCCCCCGAGGCCCGCGCCGCCCCCGCCCCCGTGCAGTACGAAAAGGTACTGGTCGGATATCAGCCCCGGTATCAGTAAAGTAGTCAATCGGACCTCGGTCAGGTACCATCATATCTCACCTTGTTTTTTCCTTGGCCCAATTATGATTGACCCAAAGCTCAAATTTCCGCGATACCTTTAGCTTAAAAATTTTTGTCTCCACTTGAGTGCGTCTATTTATCTGTTTAGCTATGAATGTGTGCGTAAAACCTTGCCGTTCAAAGAGTGCGTGAGCAATGTTGTGATGCACTTTGCACATGTTTCTGACACATGTATTTGCGGTCCAAATGAATGTGCACGTGAGGAGAAATATATGTCTGCGATTATACGTTAGTTTTGGCATAACGGCAATTACCATGGCATACCACAGTCGGTACAGCGGCGAACATTTCAATGCTGTGTGGCTGGCATGTGGGTTCACTAAACAAAAAAAAAGATCAACGACGTTCGTTAATGATAGCGATTTGGCAACTGGCCAAGAGAGTCAGGCTAACACGTGTAGGCTGTGCCATGTATAGGCTGCGCCACAAATCGAGCTTATCAAGGCGTTCGCCTGTTTCAAGGCATTTCTTTGCATGCCACACAATAAACATTATAATTAATTCTAAATATTGCAACACATGCACCAAGCGCGTACGTAAGGAGCAAATTACTGGGGAGGAGATGGGGGGGGGGGGGGGGAGGGGGAGGGGAGGACGTGGATTTGGCCAAGTCGCATTGCAGGTAACATAGAAGCAGAATCTGCGTATTTCACGGACCTTGCCGTCATGCCAACAATTACACACTTCCTCTCTAGTTCCTAAACATTCATTTTCCTCTCATTGCTTTATTAGAACCAAGCGAAATGTAGGATCGCCGATTGAATGTGATCATTGTAGGGTTTAGGTAGTCGTGCAGTAGCAGCAAGGCAAACGTTGTGGGTATTATTTGTGTAGATGACTTAGCAGCAATACTTGACGATCTTGGAGGTGTCAAAACAGTGGTTATTCAACAAACCGTAACTTGTGGACCATACTAGAACTGTAAAGTTTCGAAGCATTACGGCCATTGAGCTTGAGAAAACACGACTGACTGTGTTGACTTGCGGGCCTTTTGGCAATTGTATACGTTCAGGTACGTGCCCAAAAGTCCAAACACCAGCATGTTCTCCGAAATAGGTAAATAGATACTGGCATGGGCAGTGTAATTGTACAGACCTTGAAACGCTGCGGTGCAAAAAGTATTGCTCCGCAGTACATCACACTACCAAAAGGAATAAGCGCGAACAGCGAATGCGAGGGGGGGGGGGGGTCACAAAGGAAACTACCTCATCTTTTACCCCGCCCCAACCCTCCCCACCCATGGAAAACTCGTAGAAACAGCTGTTGACTGAATGCTGCAGAAGGGGTCACCTACACCGCAGTTCCACAAAATTTAGCACAACCATTGAGACGTTGCATGGGGGAAGCAAGGAACATCACGTTTGCCTCAAAAACTTCTGAAAGAAATCGTCGTCACCGGGAGCGATTTGACCGAAGGCTAACAGAGCTCAAACTAATTGGATAGATTTATCTTGCAATTGGATGTCGTTTGCGTGACGTTACGTTTGTCATATTCGGTGCTTCACGTTTTGCGACGACCTGCCAGCTGGGTTCGCACCACTTTTTCGCGGTCTGTCATATCTACACAGTTACCGCTGTTCATCAAATTGAGCCTGTCAGAACTGTCGGTATCAAGAATAGTGCATGTTGGTCACATCCTTGCCCGAATTTCGGCACTCATCTACGCAAATCA